ATGAGGACCTCCTCCCAGGCAAGTGGAAGAAAACATAATAGCCTCTGCGAAAACATTATGAGCAAGGAAACCTGTCATCTAAGGCTGAGGAAGTCAAAGCGACACTAAACAGTGACTGGGAGATGGCAAAGGACAAGGTCTTCCTTCGTAACGAGGGCGCCATGGAGCAGAGACAGGGACACAAGGATGGGGTTAAAATGATGAGTTTGGAAAGTCGTATTTGTAACAGCTCTCTGAACATAAGGCCAGAGAGGAGTCCTTACAGTAAATACGATGGGAGGCAGCTGGAACCTAGACAAAAGAGTGTTATTTTCATCTCAGATGTTACCTATTAAGAACATAAAAGGCTCCTTTTAAGTGTTGATCATTTAAAAATCTACTCACCATTCTCACCAAAACTTATTTGTTCATAGTTACTGCCACTTGCTTTTCTTCGTCTAATGCTTAAACTCTTCAGTTAAAAAGTTTAGACAAACATATTTGAGAATGTCAGAATATTTTTTTAACAGATTTGTGGTGAGCATGAAAGCGCATACGGTTGCCAGGTTATAGCTTAGTCAATTGAAAACCAACCCTTGACAGGATTACAGCCACATACCAGTACGAGAGAATTCATTAGAGTCAGAAAACAATAAGCTACTTGATATCATAGGTTTAAAGCTTCTGTAATTTAAAACTAGTGTGGATCTAATGTTCTTCACAGTATTATTTTCTGCACTGGAAGGCGAAATCCAAAAGAATGCCACAACGCTAGGACAAAAGTTGTCCTGAACAGAGGGGCCTTCCTTACCACGTAATTAACCGCTACTGGCACCTTCGGAGATACGAAGGCCTGAAGAATCGACGAGCAAAGTAAGTTCTGTGCAAGAAGGACGGTAAATACCAGCTGCAGCGTTTTAGGTGGGTGAAACCCAGTTCAGAGTCTACAGCCCCTTAGAAATGTACATTCTGGAAACCACAGAAAAGCGTCTCCTCAAGATAACTTCACAGCCTGAACTTTTCCTTCTATTACCACTGGAAGCGTAAGAAGTGCAATATCTGAAAACTGAAGGGGAAAACAGAATAGTGCTGTCGCTTCGTTTCACACACAAGCTGCCACGCAACTATTAAAGAAAAACCAAAAACTTTCAGCATCATTAGTATAGAAAAACGGCTCTCCCACTCCAAAACTCTATCAGAGAAATTAAGGAAAGCTCTTTCTGTGCCACCTTTGCTTTGCGTAACACAGCGAACTGTGCAAACTTGGAGGGGGCCCATGACATTTAGGTCATACAACTCTGCACAGCTTCAATACACCTGAGAGAAACATCAACTCCACCCCAATGACAGCTGGACCGATGGATAAAACTCACTGTGCCGTAAACCATTTAACACACAGAGCAACTAAATCCTCACAATCCCAAATGGACAAACAAAGTTCCTCAAGATCTACAACAGTTCGTTACAAAAATAACATGTACATCGACACCAGGCCCAAACGATGATGTTTTGAAAATGTTCTTCATTAATCATTTGTGCATCATTTTTGAGCCTAATTAGAAAGTTCAGGATCAAAAACAGAGCCCAGCTTTGTTTAAACTGACAATACGCTGTGCTCCAAAACTTACAGTAAGAACACATTCGTGTCACAATTAACTGGACTTCCTTTAAAAGAGAAAAACACATCTATCAGTTGTCAACATTTACTTTAAACACTTCTTCGTGATAAATGTTTGTTTCTTATTCCATTAAATGAGAAAGATGTGTGATCCATGCTGGGGGAAACGAAAAAAAAGAAAAAAGAAAAAAAGAGGAGGACAGACAAACAAGAACAGTGCTCTATATATTCAAACACAGGTTTCTTCCAGATCAAAGAAAAAGCATGCAGTGCCTCAGGAGAACACAGCAAAAGCATTAATTTTCATTATATTTACACTGTTTTCATCTACCAAAACCCCTCAGAAAACCAGCCTCTATTCAAAACACTGTGCAAGCTCTTAGACACTCACACAGTAAAACGGTTTGTTTGTAAGTTTGACAAGTCATGCTAGAACTCATGTCTGGTGGTTTCCTTCCTCCAGAAAAGTCTTCCGCTAAAACAGACATATTCAGAGAATAACTACTCCACAAGACACTTCCACAAACATGGGAACAGCTGGTTGCTTCAGATTTCTAAAAGCCACACTTCGGAAAAACAACGTTTCTAGGAAAACCCACAGGTGTACCTCCTGATGTGAACCGCCCAGCTGCGTGCCTACCACAGCACGGGAGTTATCGACACAGCTTTGGCCTTTCAAAAGTCAAAGGGAGAAAAGAAAGGTTAACTAGACTCGAGATTTATTTAGTGAAGTGCACTGTGGGTAAGGACAGTCTCACAACTGTCGGAGCTCTCCAAAAGCTCTTCCAAATGAGAACTTCTTAGCTAAGATTATAACTAAGGTAACTATACAACAAAGAGATCTCTGGTTTGAAGCAATGACTCTTGGTTAAAGTGAGGACCTTTTTAAACATCATTAACATATTGCATTAAAAAGACAAGGAGGGGTTTTCTTCCTAAATCAGAGAAATAAAGAGAAAAGAGATGGGCCACGATTCAGTCAGGCCTTACAGACAGCGCTTACAATTAACATTTTAGCATTGCTTGAGCAGTTCAAGTTACCAGGACAGAGCAGCTTGGACACAGTTTTATTCGTTGGGGGGGGGGGTTTTAACTACCATACAGGATTAAATGCTCTTTGAGAACAACCAGCAGAGAGCGAACAATGCCTTTACATAAATCTGTTAACTAGAAAATATCCCCAGGTCAATGCCATATCCAAAGTCAGCTAAAGCCCAACTATAAACACAGTTTAGTTCTGCTTTCCAGACACAACATGACAGATGCGAGTCATGCTGAAAACCTGCTGTTTAATCTCAGTCCATAAGGGCTGCAGTACGCCACTCTCAGCCCCTCGTCCTTTACAATCAATCAAGATTCCTTTGAGCAACTCCAAGTTACTCAGAATTCTTTCACAGACGACAAAAGCAAGCTGATGGGCGCTCTAACTTCTGCCTTTTACTGCTGAATAAAAGCGAGTCCGCACAACAGACCTATTATTCTTCATCACTTCCTTTATTAATAATTTCATTTCTGTGACATCCTGCAGACTAGTTCACTTAGCATTCCTTCCGCGCAAGCGGCCCGCTCTCGCCTTCGCGAGGGCAAGAAGAGGTAGGTGTGGGGGATTACTAATCTGATTCTCAAAGCATTCATCAATCTCAAAGAGATTTCTAATGGATGAGTGTTCTAAAGGTCTGAAGAAAATCAGATTTGAAGACATTAATGGATTAGCCGTTTCTTCAAAATTTACATATACAACAATGGCATAAAAGGCCAACATCACATTTGTCTGTGCAAACGTGTGCCAAGCAACCAAGCCAGAAAGGGCACTACACAACAAAACCCCTCCTAATGTCAGAAGCTTTGTCCCTGGCACAGCGGACACGGAGCTGTATGAAGTATTAACAGGCTCCACAGAGTACGTCTCGTACGTATTTTCACATCAAAATATCAACGCCATCTGCAATCTGATCTTTTTTTGAGAGGAACTCCTCAGACAGTCTCAGTCTCCTTTAATTCCCCATAGACCCAAAATGGAAAACCCTTTGGAAGCAACTCTGCCTCACAGCATAAGCACAGGACAGCAGCTAAAGCTCTTGACAACGTGTGTGTTGTAGGAGTATCCACAACAGCTGCAGAAGCCCGGGTTCAGGTGCCTTAGAACAACATTTTCAGGAAGAACCTTTGCTGCATGAGACTTTCAGCAGACTGACTTCTGAAGTTTTCTAAGTATCAAAGTTTTAAAGCACCTCGCTGAATTGTTAGTCAGCTCTGAAATCTCTGAACGCACTCTTAAATACTCCGTTCCAGGCTGTCTTGAATTAATCCTCACCACTAACTGTATCCTGACCGGTTCCCAGCCAACGAGCTTTTACCAGTGGCTGGAGATCCTGCAGAAGAAACCAAATCGCTCCTAAATTCGAGTCCTTCTGTTTCAACGGCAGAGATCGAAAAGACAACGCGTTCACCTCTGAAGTACAAAAGTCATCTCCTAAGTGCGTTCTGCTGCAATAAATTCCTGAAGGTACTTATTGCTTCTCCGGTACATGAATGTACATATGAACTAGTACATTCAGAATAACACTTCAGTAAATATTCAATAAATATGTTTTGAAAAGTAATTGGGAAAATTATTAAATTGAAGTCTAGGATTTAAATCACATCTGTATAAAAAAGGTCACTTTCAGACTAATCAAAGAATTACGTTGTTTTCACCTAAAACTCACTGTCCCTTATATCATCTTGTGATTAAAACACAGCAATGAACATTCATTTCAATATTTCCACCACATAAAACAGAATTTTAATTTCTATTTAAAATATCTTCATACGGCTAATCTAAAATTCTTTGATTTCAGCGCACTTTATTTCTCTGTCCAAGACCTAAAGAATTTTCAGAAAAATCTGACACTACACACTATCCTGTGAACGCTCTGGTTTTAATACAAATTTCCTTATCAACGTTGTTTACAATCGCTAAAAATAACTATTTTATATTCATAAGAATCACACCAGTGGACCATCACCGTAAGTTACATGAGGAGATGGACTAGTAGCTTTTATTTCCCAGAAAAGGCATTTATTTTCCTGAAACAATATTTTAATTTGGCAACAGGAAATCCTGCAGGTTGCACGTGTTAATTTGAAGGGTTTAAAATACAAAGCCACGCCGCTGTAGCGGGGCGTACTTTTTAGGTTTTACAAGTAATTTTAAACGGCTGTTCTGCCTGCAAGGCTAGTAAATGAAAACAAAACAAAAAAAAAAAACCCAAACGACCCATTCAGATTCATTCACTCCTCTCTGATGCTTGCTGTACTGCCTAACCACTCAAGGCTGGACCCATGATATCATCTCTGAAGCGTCCAGTTGGGCCTTAGCTCATTCCACCACCGCATTTACTTCACAGCTAGATCAGCGTACCTTCAGAGTTCAGCGTAATAAGCGTGACATTGTTCCCAATACTTTGGCTTCCTAATTGTCCACTGTTGGAAACGGAGTCACTGGCCTCAGAGCCGCTCTCTCCATCTTCATTGTGACTGTCATCGTGCCCTGGCACTTTCACCACTATGGTGTTCTGCCTGCGTCCAGGAACAGCACTACAGAGAAAAAAAAAAGTACGTCACTTTGGGAAAATGCAATCCTTGATCAGGAATAGCATCGTTGTACGGGAATGGAAACCATTAATTGACAAAGGCAAATGTATTGCGAAAGCATACTCCTTTAAACAAGGCTCCTCCTGTTTATAACTCAGAGCTGGCCAGCAAAATAAAATGGAAGGAAAATAGCAGAAGAAAAAAACCTTCAGAGGCACACTTTCTAAATGTTCATCAATGGAAAAGTCCAGGGCCAATGTCCAAAGCAAAAGAGTATTTCAATAATTTATAAAAACATATTACTTAAGAACATTTTCTACCCAGAATCTCCAGTGCCGCTTAGTTTAAAATCTCCTTTTGACAGGACAAATTCCAACAAGCCTTCCTGGGCTGCTGCATATTCCTTCTTCAGTTGGTTAAATACAAGATCTTCACATGCTCCCACGTGACGGTGCAGCTCTGGGCACTCTTTCTTTCGACTGTCAGCTGTCAACTAACACTGAACTAATCCCAGCTCCTCCAAGACGTTTTCTCCTCATCAGAGCAAAGCACTGCTTTGCACCTTCACTGCTGAGTCGAGGTTTCCCTAGGCAGAACTGTCAGCCTGACAAGCACCAGTTCAATGTTTTTCCCCCCCGCTATTACCTAGAACCTTCCTCATTTTGCACTTCAAATCGCTTCAGAGACTGATATTGATCTGTCAGAGGAGGGGACGAAAGGGGAGGATCCCCACAACCGCTACTAACTTGCTAAGGATGTTCTCCAGAGAATCCGCTGCTCTGCTCAACGGCTCTTCCTGCCCAACCATCTTGGCTACGATTGAATTCTGCCGGTCGTTGTTCAGAATTACTGTGGTCTGAGGAACAACACTACAAGACAAAAATCAGAGAGAAAAATTGAACATGAAGGAGCAAATCCTATAAATAATACATTAACGCAGTCTTATGGTTTAAACACTGTACTTGAAACCAGAGACTGCCTCTGCCCCTGAGCCTTGCTCTGTCTCCCAGCATCGCCGTTACGCATCAAGTGCTCAAGCCGGTAATCCATCGAATTTGACATCTGTTCCATTTCAAGTACTCAAATTTTTCCAGAGAACGGATTCAATGGAATTATATAAAAATTATATAAAAGTCCACGACCCCTGGCGAAGTGACAGAAGAATTCATCAACTCAGGATACACAGGAGGAAGTCTGTAAATCACAGCTCCAAAGAGTCACCAAATGCTTGTTTTGAAATTTCTGGAAGCGAGTACTTTGAGAGATACTATGAGCAACTTCCATGGCAATGCACCATCATTAGCAGAATAATTCCTAGGGAAAAAACGTAGGGGTATTTATTGCAAAACTGGATGATCAGCTTAGTTAAAGGGCATGTGCTGTCTTCCAGTGCTGGGAGCTTGTGGAGGGCAGGGAGATGGGAGCGGTGCTAGGGGCACCAGAGCAGAACAGGGACAGACTCTAACTATAAATAATGACAAGACCAAACTATTTCTTGTGCACATTTCACATACAAAAAAAAAAAAATCCAAAATAAACAATGGAAAAGCATTTAGAGTGTGAGAAACCAGAAAGCTTTCTCTATCACTTCTGATGATAACGTAAGGAAGTAACTAGAAGTGTCGCACAGAAAAAACACACAAAGTCCACACTGTAATACAAAAGTCAATATGATGTAAATAATCGTCTCCAGCAGGCAGCTTATCATTTAATTCGTTTTCAGAGATCATTAACATTATTCCCACACCATTACTCAATATTCTAAGGCATGGTTTTGATATTTAAGACTGTTTCATGGTAAACTTAAGGAGAAAACGTAGAAAATTTGTGTTTTAGTGACAGAGAAGGCTTTCTTCTTTCTCTTTGCTTCCCACAGTACATAGTCCGCTATTGTTTTTACTGGTCCAACATCTCAAACATGACTGATGGTCATTTATTTTTCCTAACTGTATTCCTTGGCTAAATGTTGAAACACAAATTAAACAAATCTGATGACAGCAACTCTGTTTATTTCAGCCGTTATAAAGCGCCTGCTTGCTTGAATATTCACGTGGCTCCATAAGACTAAGCGCTATATTATCCATCATTAAGACCTAAAGGAAAGATAAGGAACTGTCATAAGAGCCAACAATAAATGGATCTCAACTTTGGCACAGATAAAATGGTTGACCACAGGTTTTTTGGCTACAAAAAGCCCCACCTCCCTCTAGCACCAAATGGGACACCTCGTGGACTGCCAATGCTCTGCTGGATCTAAACCTCGAGAAGCTCTGGAAGATGTTTGTCTCATCACAGACAAGCACAGGCTGTACGACAGCTTTTCATGTGTGTGTGAAGTTGAAATTGTATTAAACAATAAACAGGGGGTTTCCGTCGGCTTTTGTAGTTGCTCTCTAGAGTGCAGGGGTTTAGGATGCCTTCATAGTCATCTTTTCAAAATTTTCTCCATTATCAAGGCGAAAAACACCCCACATTTTTAATTTTAAAAAAATGGCAATTTCTGTCTATTTTCTCAATGCCAGCACTGGACATTTTTTAAAAACCACAAGATAAAATACCAACACGTGGCGATGCTGGCAGTCCCCCCAGTGTAGCAGCAACGCGCGTTCTCGCCACATTTCCCAAATTGTCCAAAGACTGATGTTTGAAGAGCTACAGGCCAGTTCAAAATGTTCAAGAATTTTACACTTCCTTTTAGACACTGTTCTTTATCACCATCTTTCTTGCAATCACTTCTGAATGCCTGTTTAAAATGTCACTTACCAAAGCTTATTTTTAATGAACACTCTGAATAATTAATTTCGGCTGTAGAGATAAATGCAATAAAATTACATTTATAAAGTCCTTAGGATTTTGCTCATATGAAATTTATATTTGAAAAAGAGTCTTGCCACTAAAAACTAGCAAAAAATAAGGAAGAAGTTGGGGGGGAGGTCCTCTTTTTTTTTTTTTTTTTAGGAATAGTCATTTTTAAGGACAACAATCTAGAGAATGACCTGGATGGCATATAGCTAATTTAAGCAAATTTAGATTAAGGAAATCCAATGCATCAATGTACGTTCAAGCTTGCTTTCTTCAATACACAAACTTTTTTTTTTCCCCAAATTTATCCCTAAACAAACACCCATGAAAACACTGGCTCCTCTCTAAGAATTCACCTTTCCCAGTTAGCAGAGTGGATTATGGACAGGAAAAATCCACCTACACAGTTGTTTTGGGAGGAGCCACTAACTAAACATTGGTAAAAACACCATTTTACCGACACGTATTTTCCTGGCTGTACAGCACACAGAGGCAAGAACAGACACCACATGCAGGAGGAAAACCTCTGAAGCAAGCCACAACTACCACCAAATTGTCCATCAACTGTTTTATGTTTGGAAACGAACCGTTATCAAGTTGTAAGGACTCAAAGAATCTCTAAAGCAGTTTGGAGAGAAACCAGAGTCACACAGAAAGCACAGTGGTAGAAAACCGCAAAAAAAAAGCATGTGGAAATGTTCAACACTGCACAACATATCTACAACCACCAATTAACCTTTCTCTGCGATTAACCTGCCCAAGCAGGAACTCCACACCTCGTCTGAAGGATAACTGAATGAAGTTGCTTTATTACTATTGGATAAAAGACTTGTTTCTGTGCTCTGCATCTACTAAAACAAAGACTCCAGTAAACCTCATGCAATTCTTTTTCAGCCTTAAAGGAGGAGGAATTTCTTATGTTTAATGCTTAACTCCTGAAGAGTGACGCTTTCAAAAGCAGGCTGCGTGAGGAGGAGGAGGAGGAAACCTTTCCATGCAAAATGTCATAAATGTTACCCAAGAAACTACAATTCCAGTCCATGTTCTCCATGGAACAAGAACGGCTACACAATTTGCTGACAAATTCTGACAATGAGGCAGAGGCAGAAATTTTCCAGAGCTGAAGCTGTGAAACTTGAGCAGGTACCTACCTGGAAGAAAAAGAAACCAACAATTGGGACCAATATAAAAAGGCGCCGTTATGCTTGAAAAAGGGGAGTTTCACAGGATTGTCTCAGACTCTGATTTGTACACAGGAGAAACGGATATCCACAAGATTCCCTGCAGACAGGGAATGTGCTTCCCCTTAGTCTCCTGGGAGCTGTTCTATTCTCTATTTTCAGATTTATTTTAAAGAGACAATAATAAGAAATCTGCCGAATACACATGGAATTAACCAAGGAATTCTATGTAGAGTCAAAATATTGGGCCAACCTGACAACATCCATCAGAGGAAATCATTCAACCTTATTACAGCCTGGTACATCCTCAGACTGCATTATTCTAATGTCGTTTTTCAGTCTGCACATCTCATTCTGAAGATGCATCAACTTCAGTCATTACTCACGTACTAAAATACAGAAAACAAAAATCACGAAGGAGAAGGAAAGCTTCTGACATTCACCGAGATCCCAAATGAAGCAATTCTTTCTACGAGTGCTGCCAGTACTATGCTCATGGAGAAGATGGAAAGAAACTATTACGAAGGGGCAGGGGCAGCGCTTCAGAAACCCAGTGCTGCTGCAGAGGCTTCAGCACTTTCCGTTTGTGTTCACGTATTCCTTTACCCACAAGCACTAGAACTTGGAGAGACAGGTTCTGCCATTTCCCTCATCTTGGACACAACTCTGTAAAAAATGTAAAATGCACGCGACCTACAGATATTCTTATACTTTGGGAATCTTGTTTAAACGCAGATTATCGAATAATCTGTTAAATTACAGGTGAAAGTATTTCTAAAAAAAAAAAAAAAGAAACATACCAGAAAATGATTTTCAACCATGCATATTCAGGCTCTGCTGGTTGTTCTGTATTTAGTATAAGAAAATTGCTGCCAAAGGTAATTTTCAGTATGGAAAACGTGTGAGTCGGATATAACCATTAGTCTTAACTGTTGGGTTTGCATCGCCAATAACCTGTCAGTCACACTGAACGCAGCCAATGACATAAAAGAACCTTTGGCAATACCAGGACCATCATCTCCTCTTCCCAGATGAGGTTTTCATTTGGAAAGAGAGAAAAATAAAGCAAAAGGAACTAACTGACATTTCTACCTTCCACAATGCACAAGGTCAAAAGTGTTCGTCCAAACGGATGAAAATTACTCGTGGAAAAAACTCAGACTGAAGTTTTCAGACAAGAAGTTATTCTTCTCGTTTTCCTAGCCACGCTGGTATAGACCAGTTAACGGGATATTTACAGGAGGACTCAACCAGTTAAAGAAAAGAAAGAAGAGACACCTCTGTTCAGACCATTTCTGAGCCTCCTTTGCACAAGTGAACGTCTGCAAATAGGTAAGAGCTCGGAGAGAGAGCTCAGCTGAGAGACGCTCAGCCAGCCACATCCCCACAAACCGCTGCCTCCCGTCCACATGATATTTTGCGGCCACTACGACGCCCACGCGGTGTGTGCTGCTTATCTGGGAGGCAGGGCTCCTGAGGATCTCGTTCTCATCTTCCTCTAGTGCACACGTGAGAAGGCGATGCAGGAAGGGAGGAGATCAGGAAGGCAGGAGTCGGAGCTCTGCCGGCAGACTGCTTGTACTAAAGGTCTCCAGCCAAACACAGCCCTAAGGAAAGCACGTCTGGGAAAGAGACCTGGAACTCCAGTATTTTCCAGTGTATTGCTGGGGATGAACGTGAAGACTTCAATTTATAGCTCACCCGTGGAGGGGGGGGGCCTCAAGGGATACTGCAATTAACCCTATCATGAAGAAAATCTAAATGTTTTTCACATTAGATAGAAAAATACCGTTTTAGAAGTGTGGTGTCTCTATCTTTCACTAACACTCGTGTTCATCTCTAAGAACAGCCACACTTTGGATTCTTTCATTGCCATTTAGGAAGCT